GGGGCAGCAAGCACTGAGCTGTTTCCCCAGCTTGCCTCCCTTTTTTTTTTTCTTTATACCTTCTGGATGGAGAAACTGAGCTCTGGAATGAAAATAAGATCCAGACCCAGTCTTGGTCTAGAGAAATGCCTCAGCTTCAAGAGCACTGGCTGCTCTTGCAAAGGACCCAAATTCGATTCCCAGCACCCACATGGCTGCTCACAACCACCCAGTTCCAGGGAGTTCAATGTCTTCTGACATCTGCAGGCATCAGGCATGCACATGATGCCTTTCATACACACAAAGCATTCAAATGCATAAAATAAATAATAATGATGATGGTGGTAATGATGATGATGAAGACCTGGGGCCTGGAGAGATGGCTCAGCGGTTAAGAGCCCTGGCTGCTCTTCCAAAGATCCCAAGTTCAATTCCCAGCAACCTCGTGGTGGCTCACAACCATCTATAGTGAGATCTGGTCCCCTCTTCTGGCCTGCAGGCATACATGGAGGCAGAACACTGTATATATAATAAATAAACAAACAAACAAACAAGACCTGGGCCTCTGCAGTGAGTACTTGTTGCTCTTTCAGAGGACCTGGGTTTGATTCCCAGCACCCACACAGTGGATCAAACCATCCTAACTTCAGTTCCAGGGAATCTGTAGCCCTCTCCTGGTCTCCACAGGCACCAGGCACGTAAGTATGTATAGGCGTACATGCAGACAAAATATTCACACACACAAGATTAAATCTAAATCTGCCTTAACCTATTGCCCACCTAATCTGCCACGTGTATACATAATTCAGCACCTTAATGATTCTTACTAAGAGTTTATGTCCACTTGCATTCAAAACCTTCTTCTGATTTCGTTGTAAGAAGGAAATACCACTGGGAGGGTGGGGGGCCGGAGAAAGCTGGGCATGGTGACACAAGCCCTTAATCCCAGCAGGCACACACATGTTTACATATGTGAGGGCCCCTGTGCATGAGTGTTGGTGTGGAGGTCAGAGGATGACTTATTGGTAATCTTCCTTCCACCATGGGATTCTCTCCTTCAATCCCAGGGACTGAACTCAGATCATCATGCTTAACAGCAAGCCCCTTTAATGCTGAGCCACCTTGCTGGACCCTGACAATCCGATATGTTTATGGTTTTTAAGATAAAATTTATGTGTGGCCCAGCATGGTAAGCATACACCTTTAATCCAAGCACTCAGGGAGGCAGAGGCAGGTGGATCTCTGTGAGTTCTAGGCCAGCCTGGTCTACCTAGTGAGTTCCAGGATGACCAGGGGCTACACAGAGAAACCCTGTCTCAATGAAATGAAACAAAACAAAACAAAAAAATTAAAGAGTAAACTTCATGAGAACGGGAATGTTGACCTTTTAATTTCTTTCTAGTACCCAGCATACCACCAGTGGGAAAACAAGCAATAAATATCCACAACCATGGGTTAGGCTCTCTCCTCTAACTAGGTCCATTCCTGGGTATTGACAAAAACAGAACAGTTTTAGTTTTTTCTAAGAAGCCTAAGGACGAGTGAGACGTAGGCATTAAATGCTTCCTTAGGACCCGGGCTTGCCAACCTACAGCCTCTGCCAAATGCAGCCCAATGCTAGTCCTCCCCTTGCTTTTCTGCTGTCCCCAGGCAACAAGGTGTTTCTTTAAAGGTTCTGAGTGGTGGAGGAAACAGAGTGCCAAAACAACATTATGTGACACTCCAAAACTGTATTCAAATTTCAGTGTCCACAAGTAATTTTTACTAGTCCTGTCTGTGGCTTCTTTTTTTTTTTTTAGACAGCATCTCATCCATGGGTCAGGCTGGCCTGATCAAACTCTGAGGTCTTCATGCCTGTGCCTCCTGAGTACCAGGATTAAAGATGGACACCAACATGCCTGGCCTTGTTTGGCTCTTCATGACATGAAGACAGAGTTGAGTAGTTGCAAGAGAGTATATGACCTGCAGAGCTTAAGGTATTTTGCTATCTTAAGGCCGGATGGATGGTCTCTTCCAGAGAACATGGGACTCCAAGCACCTACATGGTAGCTCGCAACGGTCTGTAATTCCAGTGCCATGAGACCCAGTGCCCTCTTATAACGCCTCTAGGCATGTCATGCATGTGACGCAAACAGACATGCATGCAGGAAAGATACCCATAAGTAAAACAAATGAACAAATACATTTTTTTAAAAAAAAGATGTTTACTGTCTTGTATTTTGTTTGTTTTGCTTGGTGTTTCTGGTTTTTAGGGACAGATTCTCACTCTGTGGCCCGGGCTGCCCTTGAACTAGCTGATTCTCCTGCCTCGGCCTCTTCAGTGCTGGGATTATAGGCACGAGCCACTCTGCCTGGCTTAGGAGCTGGTCTTTTTGTAGTTTATCTAGAGTGTAAATCAGGTATGTCCAACCTTTTAACATGCAATGCCACACTGTCACCGACAAAGCTTATACTTGAGAACAGCTTGAACCAGTTACAAACAAACACAAAATCCCAGGGCTGGAGAAACGGTTCAGCGATTAAGAGCACACAGTGCTCTTGCAAGGCCTTGACGAGGTTCCCAGTACCCATGTCAAGTGGCTCAAAACTGCTATTAACTCCACTTCCAGCGTCTGAGTATGCCTACACACAGGGACGCATATATACATGATTAGCTCCCCGCCCCCAAGTCTCAAAGTTTTAAGTTTTCGATTTGGCAGCATGAGATCTACAGGCCATGGGGTGGTCCCTCACCTGAATAGAGCTTTTTTCAGGGTAAGGATTGGGGGGTAACTGAGACAGTGCAACTGCAACAGTCTTATTTGTAGCTCTGGTTGGCCTAGAACTTATACAGCCAGGTTGAACTTGAACTCATCTTCCTGCCTCAGTCCCCTGAGAGCTGAGATTACAGATGCCTAGTTCTTGGCCACTGTGCTTTCCCCACCCCCCAGCCCTCCTGTTGTCATTCTTATTTTGAGACGGAATCTCACTAAGTTGCCTAGGCAGGCTCTGAACTTTGTTGTTGTTATTGGTGATGGTGGTCTGTTAGAGCACTGGGGATTGAACCCAGGGCCCGCTGCATGTTGGGCAAGCCTTGCACTATTGCAGTACACCTCCAGCCCCCAAGGCCTTGAACTTTTGATCCATTGGCCTCAGCTTCTGAGTAAATAGGATTATAGACCCACACCACCAAGCTGGGCTTGAATAGGAGCTTTTAGCAAAGGGTGAACAGATTTCTCGTATTTTCTTTGGCACCTAGTACTCTGACTTTTTCAGCTTTATAAACAAAAGGACCCGTGCACTTCCTGTGTTAGAAGAGCTTTAGCCCAAACTCCTTTTGTTTGGAAAATATTACCCGGCTACTCTCCCCTTATCCCGTCCCCATCCTCTCTTTCCCTATTAATTGCTTTCCCTGCTTTCAGGGCTCTTTACGGGGACTGGGCCAGGATGGGCACCAGAAGTACTAGTATCATTCCCGCTGAAGTCCAAAATCCACGGGAGGGGGGGGGGTCCAACTAAAAGTTGGTTGGGGTGAAAATGGAAGAGAAAGCACCTGATAGGCTGGGTGCTGGCTCAAGGCCGGTTGAAAACACATCAGGGAAACAGAGAGAGGTTCTGGCCCTAGCGGTGACTGTTCAGAAGGCTGCCCCAGCCTGGCTCCAAGGAGCCCAGAGCTTCAGTGACCCTACATTTGAGATGGCAGGTGGGAAACTGAGAAGCAGACGGAAAGGGCCTCAGGAGGAGCCCTGTCTCCCCCTGGGCTCAGCTCTCTCGGGCCCCTGTTGTACCTAAAGTAGGAGCTGCAGCTACAGAGGATGTTCTTGTGGGCATTGAACTCGAAGCCATTGACTTTGATGACCACATCGCAGAGCTTGCCCTCAAGCCGGAGCTCATTGAAGATCTCACAGGTCATCGCACTCATCTTCCTCTCCATGTGAGGCTGGTGGAACCGGGTGGAGGCCGCCGCGCTCTCCATCTCCATGGCACCTTGGGACCAGGGGAGAGAGGCTGCTCTCCTGGGGTGTTGGGGAGGGTTATGGGGGGCCCCTTTAGCCAGCTGTCGCTCCTTTTCCCTACTACATCTTTCATATAGGGACCATCAGGCAGCCCAAGTTCCAGAATCCTGGGCAGTGAGATCACTCAGGATTGTGCTCTCGGGTTCTGGAACCCCTTCCTGGCCCTTCTTTTCCTCCCCCCTCCCCCAGGACATACAAATAGACCACCCCATGCCTCCTTCCGTGTCCTTCAGACCTGTGGCAGAACTGTGACCACCAACACGATTGAGCCTTTACTGAGTCTACGTCTTGTTGCATCTTCAGGCTGGGTCCAAGTTGCTGCAGCATCCTTCCACAGCTCTCACTGGGCTCCCCGTGTATGCAGAGCCAGAAGCAACGCTGATTAAATGTCAAGGCTAGCCAGGGATGCCTAATTGTCTTGCTTTCTTAATGATGATGAGGGGCCCAGTTAGGGAAGTGTCTCCTGGGTGCATTCCCGTCCAAATGTCCAAATGCATTTGCATACCTTGTCGTTGCTGTTTGCAATGCTGGGGATGAAACCCAGGGCCTCATACATGCAGGCAGGCACTGTCCCATTGAGCTACGACCCCAACCTTGGTGTGTTCCAGAAAGCGTGACAAGCAGGGGCTGGAGAGATGGCTCAGCTGTTTAAGAGCACCGGCAGCAGTTCCAGAAGACCCAAGTTCTATTCCCAGCACCAACATGGCAACTCACAACTGACATCATCTCCCAGAGATACATGCAGCCAAAACACCAATGCACATAAAAATAAGTATTTTTTTAAAAAAACTAAAGTGACAGGAGCCCGAGCCCACACACACTAAAGCCTCATGACAGCCAGCCCATACATAAGGACCCCAGCATCTTGCTCCCCCAACCCTCCCGCCTCCACACACAGTAGAACAACCCCCACACACATTCGTTTCTTATGCCAGCACCCAGGGCCAGCCTGGAAACGGCCGGCAGCTCCTTGACCAGCCCCTCTAGAGCGAGGCGACGCCTGCGCAGTGCGGCTGTAAGGCGGGCTCTGTCTTCGGAGCCGCCCACCAGGCCGGCGGCGCGATGGCGGAGGAGGTGAGGCCGCGGATGGGGTGCGTCCCGCGTGGCGGGATCGCGGGCGCGGAAAGGCCCAGCTGCCCCGGGACCCGTGGCGGCGCTCGGGTCAGCGGGTCTCTTGGGTCTCACGACAGGTGAGCAGTCTGATGAAGGCCACGGTCCTGATGCGGCAGCCCGGGAGGGTGCAGGAAATCGTGGACGCCCTTCGCCGGGGCGGAGGAGACCGTCTGCAGGTACCGGGGCATGGAGGGCGGCCGGGAGGGTGCCTGCCCCGCGGCCTTCCCGCCAGCTGGGGTGCACGCTCTGCGAAGCCGCTTCTCTGGGTGGTCATGGGCAAACAGCTCGCCTTGGGAAAGAGCCTAACTGCCCCAGTAGCCAACTTTCAAAGTAGTCAGATGTGGTCGTGACGCAGGATGTCAGAAAGAACGTGAGTGGAGCCTGGCTGTCCCACTTCCCCGGGCTAGCCGTCTCCCCAAGAAATTGAAGATGGGGAGATCCATTAGTGTTGGGAAGCGCCTTAAGAAAGAACCAGTGCATTTCAGAAAGATGCCACTAAAAGCTACCCACACACCTGGGGGACTTTGCTTTCCCCGGGTTAACTGGTGTACTGACACCGGATCACCCCTTTCCTTCCCCTCAGTCTCTCCCCATCCTTTCGAAGGCTTTGCTGCAGCCTGGCCAGTGGCCTGGTTAGGCTTACGCTGTTACCCCAGGCTGAGTCAAGGCCAGGTTAGACGGGTGCCTATTCAGCCACCATAATATTTCCCTTTTGTCTCTTAGGTGATTTCTGATTTTGACATGACCTTGAGCAGATTTGCCTACAATGGACAGCGGTGCCCCTCTTCCCACAGTAAGTCACATTTCAGCCTTCCTGGCGGGGCTCAAGATGACCACGGCTAAGGAGCAAGTAAAGGGAGTTTTGTGGTTTATTTGTTTTGTTTTTGTTTTTTTTTCAGATATTCTGGATAACAGCAAAATCATCAGTGAGGACTGTCGCAAAGAGGTGGGTCACTCCCTTGTTTGCTCAAAAAACGGCAGGGGTGTGCTTCAACCACAGACTCCATGACAGAAATCTTAAGAAAGATTTCTGAAGCCCATTGTGGAGGCCTGTAATCCCAGAGGCTTGAAACAGGAGGATCACAAGTTCAGGGTCTGCCCTGGCTCCAGGAAGAGTTCAAGGTCATTTTTTATGTGAAAGGAAGCCGGGCGTTGGTGGCACACACCTTTAGTCCCAGCACTGGGGAGGCAGAGCCAGGTGTATCTCTGAAGCCCAGGCCAGCCTGGTCCACAGAGCTACAGAGCTCCAAGACAACCAGGATTACACAGAGAAACCCTGTCTGGAAAGCCAAAAGAAGAAAAAGAAAATTTAAAAAGGGGGATGGGGGTAGGGGGAGGGGCAACTGAACAGCACTCAGGAGAAAGAGGCAGGCAGATCTCTGAGTTCGAAGCCACGCTGGTCTACATAGCAAGTCCGTCAAGGCTACATGGTGACACCTTGTCTCAAAAAGAGGTTTGGGATATATGGCTCAGGGGGTAGCTCAGCGAGCATGTGGGGAGTTCTGGATTTGCTCCTCAGTTTTTACTGTTGTTTGTTTTTAATTATTCATTTTTAAGTTGTCATCGTAAAGTAGATTTAGTTTTTATTATTTTTAAGGGTGTGTGTGTGTAGAGAGAGGTCCATATGCATGCAGGTATCCTTGAGTTGAGAGAGGGAGGGAGGGAGAGGAGAGAGAGAAGAGGTACATATGCATACAGGTGTCCTTGGAGGCCTGAGTTGTTGGATACCCCGGAACACCCCTGGAGTTCTGGGTGGTTGTGCCTGATGTGGGAACTGGGAAGTGTACTCTGGTCCTCTGGAAGAGCAGTACGTGCTCTTAACTGCTGAGCCATCTCTCCAGCCCCTGGAGCTAGTCCTCAGACACGAGGACAGCTTTTCCCCGTTGGCTGAGATACAGTGATGGGTGGTTCCTGTGTGAACACTGTGCTTACTGCCAGCTAGGAGACTTGAATGCTATGTCTTGTTGAACAGCCATCTACTCCCAAAGGTAAATAGAACCACCATATTGTTATCTCCAAGTAACACGTGAGAACACAGGTGCTCAAAGAGGGTGAGCGGTTTGTCCCAGGGCCTTTCAGTTGAGTTCCAAATCTTGGTTTTGTAGCGACTTTGTTCCGAGCTCTTCCCACTGTGTTGCGCCATGTCCTTGATAATGTAGCTTTTTTTTTTTTTTTTTTGTAAGGGAGGAACAGATATGGAGAATGTTCTGAGTGAGTATAGGTTAGAAACCCGCTTTGTGGTTTGCTTGTTTCCGGGTTTTTGCCCCGAGTGGCCCTTTACTGGAACAGAGCCAGGCCAGGCTCTTCTTACACATTGCTTCGCTTACTCTTGTCCATAACTCTATCGCTTAGTTTTCTTTCTTACTCAGTAAAGCTGCAAGCTAAATGGTGTATTGTATCTTGTGTTGGTTGATGTTTGCTGTGGGTTTTGTTCTCATGAAGCCTAAACTGGCCTGGAACTTGTTGTGAAGCTGTGGCTGGCCTTGGACTCCTTTTTCTCCTGCTTCTAGTTCCTGAATGCTGCCATCAGAGATGTCTAGCCTAGGTTCTTGTTTTGTTTTTGTGGTACTGTGACTTGAACCCGAGGCCTTCTAAGACTTTCTTTTTCTTTTCTTTTTAATTTATTTTGTATATGGTTTTCTGTCGCATGTATACCCACAGGCCAGAAGGGGGCACTGGGGCACCAGATCTCATCGTAGATGGTTGTGAGCCACCATGTGGTTGCTGGGAATTGAACTCAGGACCTTTGGAAGAGCAGCCGGTGCTCCTAACCTCTGAGCCATCTCTCCAGCCCCCTTCCAAGACTCTTGATGTGATTGCTTGTTATGAAGATGGCCAGTGACGAGAAGCTGCACTGTACCAAATGAGCTGCCCGCCTAACCAGCACCAAGGCTCTCAAGACATTTCAAGAACATTCTGCTTAATACCATGTAATCATGGCACTTAATTCTCTTTTGGACACACAGACAGGGACTCCAGTTGAGCTCCTAATTGTCCCAAGACGACATGTGTCAATTGAAAATCATTCCTCACCAGGTGGTGATGGCTTATACTTTTAATTACAACACTTGGGAGACAGAGGCAGGCAGATCTCTGAGTTGGAGACCAGCCTGGTCTCCAAAGGGAATTCCAGGACAGCCAGGGCTACACAGAGAAACCCTGTCCTGAAAAACCAAAAAATGAAAAATAAAATTCTTTACTCCGTCAATTCTTATTTCCTCTCCCCTCCCCCAGAAGCCTCTCTGACTGGTTCTTCATGACATGTGATCCCTGAAGTAGCCGCCCCCCACCTCCCAAGAAAGAAACCTTAGCTGAAAGAGGCCCATGCAGACGCTCTGAGTTTAGCTAATGGCGATGCTGATGGGATTGTCACCGATGTCCTATGTCTTAACTCCAGACTGTAACTTGTTCTTTATGATCCCTTGTCATGGGCCGGCAGTCCAGCAGGGCCTCACACATTCTGGGCAAGTGTTCGACCACTGAGCTGGATCCCGGTCATAAGTTCGTGATTTTCTTTTTCAGCCATATCTATGCATCACTTCTTTCAAATATTTTTCTTTTTATTCTAATGTGTTTTGGATGCTTTACCTTCCTGTTTGTCGGTGCACTGTGTACACGCAGTGCCAACAGAGGCCAGCAGAGGGCACTGGACCCCTTGGAAATGGAGTTTCAGAGCCTCTCTGTGGGTGCTGGAAATTGAACCTTAGTACCCTGGAAGAGCAGCCAGTGCTCCTAACCACCGAGCCGTCTCTCCAGCCCCAAGCATTTTTCTTTTAAATTTTAATTCTTTCTGTGTTTGAGACAAGGTCTCACTGTGTAGACAAAGATAGCCTTAAATCTCAGAGATCTGCCTGCCTCTGCCTCGAGTGTGCTGGGATTAAAGGTGTGAGCCACCATGCCTGGTGGTTTATTTTACGTATATAAGTGTTTTGCCTGCATGTGTTCATGTGATTAAGTGTGTGTGACAGGTGCCCATAAAGTCAGGAAAAAGCATCATGGCTGGCATGGTGGTGCACACCTCCCAACACTTGGGAGGCAGAGACAGGTAGATCTCTGAGTTCAAGGTTTAGCCTGGTCTACAGAGTGAATTCCAGGACAGCCATAACTACACAGAGAAACCCTGTTTCAAAGAGAGACAGGGAGACATCAGATCCCTCGGAACTGGAGTCACAGATAGTTGTGAGCTACCATGCCAGTACTGGGAATTGAACTCCAGTCGTCTACGTGAGCAGCAAGTGCTCTTAACCACTGAGCTGTCTCTCCAGCCCACGCTTTTGAGACCAGTTCTCTTGTACCTCTGGCTAGCCTCGGACTTGCTGTGTGGCTAAAGATGACTTTGAACTCCTAATCCTCCTGCCTCCATTTCTCAAGGGCTAGGACTATAGGCGAGTGCCATCACACCCTAATGTATTTGTGTTCCTGGGGATAAAACCCAGGTGCATGCTAGGCAGGCAGTCAGCTGAGCCGCATCTCAGGCTCCATCCTTGAGGGGGGTTTTGCCTTAACCGGGACTGATGTGATGTGCGCTGCTAACGCCCTGTCTCCCTGTTGGCTGTCCCAGCTCAGGGCGCTCTTTCTCCACTATTACCCCATTGAGATTGACCCACAGAGGACCATCAGAGAGAAGTTGCCGCACATGGTACAGTGGTAAGTGACGCTGACCAGGAAGAGCTCCTGTCACTGAAGACGGAGTGGGCCGGGATGGCTGTGTCCTTCCGGAGCTTCAGTGAGTTTGCACGCCTCCTTCCTGAGGGCCGTGCCGCTGGCCCAGCTCTGAGAACGAACATCCACAGGCTCTCTGCTGCTGCGGGAGTGGAAAACCTCAGGGACTTCTTGGAGTAAGTTAGAAATGCCTTGGCTTGGGAGATAAGCAGCTCATGGCCTTATCTGGGTGTGTTTTGTTCTGGTGTAACTGAATACCCCAGTCTGGACAGTGCATAATGAATAGAGTTTGGAGGCTTACAGTTCGGGGGGCTGGGAAGTCCCAGATGAAGAGACCGGCATCTGCCATGTCATTCTGTAGCAGCAGGGCTAAAAGAGGGCAAGAGTGACAGAAAAAAAGAGAGAGTGAGAGTGAACTTACACTTTGATAACCTAATTGTATTATTCATTCTTGAGGGCAAAGCCCCATGGCCCAACCTCTCTGGGCTGGGGTGTGCCATAGTTATTTTTCTATCGCTGTGCTGAGATAGCATGACCAAGGCGACTTATAGAAGAAAGAGTTTAGTTGGGGCTTATAGTCCAGAGGGTAAGTCTGTGACCATCATGGCAGGGAGCATGGTGGCAGGAAGGCAGGCATGGCTTTTGAAACTTCAGCGCCCTCTCTCCTCCAACAAGGCCACATCTCCTAATCCTTCCCAGACAGTTTCACCAACCTTGAACCAAGCATTTAAACATATGAGCGCACAGGGGCCATTCTCACTCAGACCACCACAGAGAGCCAGTTTGCAACATGGGGACACAATCAAAATGCAAAAATTCTGACAGGAAAAAAAAAGCAACTAAGTTTGACCGTGGTGGTACATGCACACCGTGCCAATACTTAGGAGGTGGGGACACGGAGACCAAGGTTGTTCTTGGCTACGTAGGAAGTTGTAGGCTAGCCTGCACTACACAAGACTGTTTAAAAAAAAAAAAAATCTAAGCCGGGCACAGTGGTGCTTACCTGTAATCCCAGCACTCTGGGAGGCAGAGACAGGCAAATCTCTGTAGTTTCAAGGCTAGCCTGGTTTACAGAGTGAGTTTCTGGATAGCCAAAGCTATACAAAGAAACCCTGTATTGGGGGAAAAAAAAAAAGCCAAACTAAACCAAATCAAAAACCCAAAACCGGGGCTGGAGAGACGGCTCAGTGGTTAAGAGCACTTAACCACTGAGTTCAATTCCCAGCAACCACATGGTGGCTCACAACCATCTATAATGTGAACTAATTCCCTCTTCTGGCAGGTGCATACATAAAATAAATCTTTAAAAACAAAACAAAACCAAAACCTAGCGTCCCTGGACAGAGCTTCTGGGATTCAGAAGCGTTCTGACCTCCCTAGTCCACTCTGAAGCACTTCCTCCCTCTCCCTTGACTTTCTAAGGATAGCTTGAAGTTCCTCAGCAGGTGGCTCTGTGGGACAGAATGTATTCCCCTTGCCCCCAGGGTGCTTCCAGAGGAGACAAGGGACAGGGCACTCAGCTTCCTGAGGTCACTGGGACTTGGGGTTTGTGGGTTGTCTGTTCATAGGTGGACCAAAGCCCACAATCTGCTGTGCCAGCAGAAGATCCAGAAATCCCAGATAGCGCAGGTGGTTGGGGAGTCCACAGCGATGCTCAGGTAAGTCCCTCGCTGTACATTATTTCCACCACACTAGTCCAGGCAGCTGTGCGGGCTGGGCTGTGGCTCCGGTTTAGTTTGGTACTCCAGTTTAGTACTTGCCTGGCATTCTGGAAGCCTGTGGATTCCATCCTTGGCATTGAAAAATAAAAATGAAAACCAGTCTAAAACTGTTTCACCCAGGTTAGAGATGGTTGAGTAGATTCAGTGGTTGGGGGAATAGGAGGGAAGGAGGCTCCGGAGCCTTTTGCCTCAGTAGGATGCTGTGCAAAGTGGCCAGAGCTTCATTGCCTAGAGTTCAACTCCTTTTAAATAATGGTTTCAAAATAAACAACAACAGAACTCTGGGTCCCTCTGGTTGACACGCGCTCTGTGCTGTCAACCAGAGGGACCCAGAGTGCTGAGGAGACGCCTGGTTGGTAAAGCACGGAGACCTGAGTTCCATCCCAACACCCATATAAGGAGCGGGGTGTGGTCGAATGAGTTTGCACTCCCAGCACTGGGGAAGAGCAGACAGGCAAATCTCTGGGACTGATCAGCCTAGCCTAACCAGAGGCCCAGATCCCAGTGGGAGACCCTGTCTCTGCACAGGGTGAGAGTCAGTGAGATGGCTCAGTGGGTAAAGTTATCATGCAAGCCTGACTGCCGTAATCCCCAGAACCCACGTGAAAGTGGGAAGAGGAGACCAACGCCATGCAGTTGCTCTCTGACCTCCCCAGGTGCCGCCGTATATCTGTGCCCATAAACGTAGCAATAATGACCACTCCATTCTCAAAAATCAAAAATAAGGTGCATGCCGAGTAGTGGTGACACGCGCCTTTAATCCCAGCACTCAGGAGGCAGAGGCGGGTGGATCTGTAAGTTCAAGGCCGGCTTGGTCTACAGAGTGAGTTCAGGACAGCCAAGGCTACACAGGGAAACCCTGTCTTGAAAAGAAAAAAAAAAAAAAAGGAAGATGAATGGCTCCTAGGAAGGACACTCAAGGTTGACCTCTGGCCTCTACACTTACGTCATAGGTAGCCATATAACCTATACACATACAGAGACTCACGTAAGTATGAATACATGTCTGTGTACACAAGTAATAATATACAAAATACCTAACCCAAGCAGAAAACAGAGCAGTAGCCAGGGCCACCGCTCTCACAGTTGTTTGATCTCCTTGCAGGGAGGGCTATAAGACATTCTTCGACATGCTCTACCACAACAACATTCCTCTCTTCATCTTCTCGGCGGGCATCGGTGATATCCTGGAAGAAATTATCCGGCAGATGAAAGTGTTCCACCCCAACATCCACATTGTCTCCAACTACATGGATTTCAGTGAGGATGTGAGCCACGTTTCGGCCGTGCTGGGAAAGAGGAAGAGAGGAGGGTTGGGCTGCCAGCCTGGGTGCCTTCCGCTTGGCCAGCTGGCCGCTCCGCCCTCTGGTGGGCATTTTTAGTCCCTCATCTTTCTTTGAGACAAGACTCTTGCTGTGTTACCCAGGCTGTCCTGAGGTTCCTGAGCACAGTCATTCTTCCGGCCTCAGCCTCCTAAATGGCTGGAACTGTAAATATGAGTCGTGGTACTTTTCTTTTGACACAGGGTCTCTCTACTATCCCTGGCTGCCCTAGAACTCACTGTGTAAACTAGCCTAGCCTCAGGTTCACAGAGAAACACACCTGCCTCTGCCTCATCCCCCATCAGTGCTAGGACTGAAGCATTCGCCACCACACCCAGCCTGTTACTCTAAATGGACCAACAGTCAGCTTTCTGTCAACCGGGTCCTCATTTGTAGGTCACCATAGCCCTGTGGCACCATCATAGGTTGTGTATCACCATGGTTACCAAAGGGCTTACGCTTTGGGTTGTCTATTGAAAGTCAGAGGTAAGCTGTTCCATTGCTGTGAAGTGGCCAGGCATGGTGGCACCCTCCTTTGATTCCGGCACTTGCAAGGTAGAGGTGGCAGGCTCAGAAATTCAAAGCCAGCCTCACCTGCATGATGAGTTCAGATTCACTGGTGCAGTTTTGTCGTTCTTAGCAGCCAGCACACGTGTGACCCAGAGAACATTTTTTTTCCAGGTGGGAATCTAACCCTGGCCTTGTAAGCAGATGCTCTTGTCTCTGAGTGGTTCCTGCAACCTGACTGAGCAGCTTCTGTATTACAGGGTTCCACCAGAATGGAGGATCAGCAGTAATCTGGTGGCCATTATTTAAAACAGAAATTGCAAAGTTCTCCTCTAAAAGGCCAAGTGGTTTGGGCCCAGTGGTACAGTCCTGTGATCCCAGATGCTTAGGATACTTAAGGCAGGAACTCTGAAAGTCAAGCCCTGCCTGCCTGAGCTGCAGAACAAATTTCATGGTGATCCTAGAAAGGCCAGGTGGAAAAAGGTGTGTCTTGAAATGAAAACCGGAAGTGGCGCACTCCATTAATCCCAGCACTTGGGAGCAGAGGCAGGGAATCTCTATGAGTTTAAGGCTAGTCTGGTCTAGTGAGACCCTGTCTCAAATAAGGAAAAGGAAGGGAGGGGAGGAGAGGGGAAGAAAGGAAGAAAGGGCACATTGACATGCCCTTCATCTTTGCACTCAGGAGGCAGAGGCAGTTGGACCACTGAGTTCAAAGCCAGCTAAAGCAACATTAAAAAAAAACAAAAAACGCTGTCTCAAAAGAAAAAGTTAGAGGTGTGGCTCAGTGGTATGTGCTTGCATGTATAAGGCCCCAGGTCATCTATGCATACTTACGAACTCTTTGTTGCATCTCCTCAACTTTGCTGTCACCACCCAGAATACAGCACAGGCGAGACACAGAGAGATGAGTCTAGCTGGGTCCATGAAAGCAGATCAAACCCAGTCTTCGTTTTCAGCCTCTTGTTTAGGCTACAATGAAGCCTTGCCATTGTCCCTGTCTTTGGGAGGTCTTGTCCCCTGTGACAGACAATGGAAAGTGTGCTGTGTGGGTCCCCCTAGCGCTGCTGTCTGTCTCTTGTCACCATGGTTCAGGGTTTCCTGCAAGGATTCAAGGGCCAGCTCATCCACACCTACAACAAGAACAGCTCCGTGTGTGAGAACTCTGGCTACTTCCAGCAGCTTCAGGATAAAACCAACGTCCTCCTGCTTGGAGACTCCATAGGGGATCTCACCATGGCTGACGGGGTCCCCGGGGTGCAGAACATTCTCAAGATTGGCTTTCTAAATGACAAGGTAGGCAGTTGCTGGGTCTTCCCCTCTGGCTCCTGCATGGGTTCCTTTTCACACTTTCGAATACCTTTGGTGAGCTAGATATCGTGGAAGTATTAGGGCTACAGAGGAAGGACATAAATCATGTTCTGCATCTTGTGGTCTTGCTTTTTCTTTTTCTCTTCTTTTTTTTTGAGGGGGGGGGAAGGAGAGGGTGGTATTGGTGAAACATGGATTAATTTATCCCAGGCTAGTCTCTTTAACTGTATATCCAAGGCTGACCTTGAACTTCTAGCCATCTTGTCAGAACCGCCCAAATGCTGGGATTACATGAATATGCCATCATGCCTCAGTTTATATCCTCTCTTGATGGAGTCTCGTGTGTGTGTGTGTATATGTAACAGAACCTGATAGGTACCAGGTAAGTGCTCTGTCGCTGAGTTACATCCCAAAGCCTCAGCACACGACTGTTTGCTTTGCACTATGGCCTGACCCAGGACTTGAGACAACAGGGTCACTGGAGCCCATCATCGAAGCATACATGTGTGGCTCTGTGCTCAGCATGTGTCAGGCCCCATTCTTGTCACACAAACAATGCTAACCTATTGAACCATCACTATAGCGCTTTGTGTAATGACTCCTTGGGTTTTCTTGGGGTGTGGGGAGCTGATATTTACTTATTTGTTTGTTTGTTTGTTTGTTTTTGGTTTTTCAAGACAAGGTTTCTCTGTGTATCCTTGGCTGTTCTGGAACTCAACTCTGCAGACCAGTCTGGCCTCGAACTCAGATCTGTCTGCCTCTGCCTCCTGAGTTCTGGGGTTAAGAGTGCTTTGTATAATGATTCCTTGGGTATATGGGGATCAAGGGGGCTATAGAGCCAAAGCTAGCCTTGAATTCACTGTATAATGTGAGAATAACCTTGAATTCCTTCTGATCTTCCTACCTTCACCTCCCAAGTGTTGGGATTGTAAGTACCATCGTCTGCTTTAGTGGTGACATAGTCCCATTTCACAGATAAGAAAGGTTGAGTAACTTAGCCAAGGTGATATAGTTTGTTTTCAAGTTTTTGTTTTGTTTTGTTGGTGTTTCAAGACAGGGTTTTTCTGTGTAGCCCTGGCTGTCCTGGAACTCACTGTGTAGTCCAGGCTGGCTTTGATCTCACAGAGATCTTCCCACTTCTGCCTCCGGAGTGCTGGGATTAAAGGTGTGCCCAGCCTGTTGCCAGTCTGACTCACATCTTAAAGGCCTAAGATGGGAGATGCCAGAGTTGAGAGCATGCTTCTATAAAAGGAAATAAAAGCAGCAGAGACTGGCAGGGATAGATAGAACACAAGCCAGAAGGGCTCAGAGAAGGTGTGTGTGTCTGGGTGGACCCAGCCAGCAGAGGCTGGAGCCCAGTGGATGCCAGAGCCATAGGAAGATGACATGTGACCCGTGGGCGTTTGTCTTCAGTGTGTGTGTGAGACGCTAGCCAAGCGTTCCTGTGGTAGGTAGCTCGTGCCCCTCATTTGCCTGCCTGTGTCCCTATAGCCTCTAATTCCTTAGGCTTTCACAAGAGATCTGGAAAGCGGTGTTCGCATGCCTCTACCCCCGGGCCCTGAGGGGCCTGAGAGTAAAAGGGGCAAAGAAGAGCATGTAAGGGACTCTGGTCTGCTTCCCTGGGCAGGTGGAGGAACGGCGGGAGCGTTACCTGGATTCCTATGACATCGTGTTGGAGAAGGACGAGACGCTGGACGTGGTCAATGGGCTCCTGCAGCACATCCTGCACCAGGGGCGCTGCGTGGAGCTCCAGGGCTCCTAAGCGTGAAGGCTCCGGCCGGGCCCCGCAGGCGGTGATGAGGAAGACTGCCCGTGAAGCCTCCTCTGTGGGCACAGAGACAAGTCCAGGGCAAACGAGCTGCTGGCCCCCTCACCCCGTCCGCATGCCTTTGCCTTCCTCCTGCTCTGAAGAGGCTTGAGGGAGGTCCCGCCCGTGGGAAGGCAACGAGCCTGCTTCCAAGTGAACCTTGGACTGCTTCTGTGGATCCCCTAGTCCAAGGGTTCTGTCTAAGAAAGTTTTCAGAGCTGGGAATACAGATAGCGTAGTGGCAAAGCACCTGCCGAGCATGTGGAGAGGGCCCTGGGATCTGTCTCCAGCACTGTATTTAAAAAAAAATAAATAAAATAAAACTATACACTGGATAGATACACTGTTTAGTAAATCAGATGAAAATTAAAAAACAAGCTGGGCAGAGGTGGCACAAGCCTTGAATCCCTCCAGCACTTGGGAGGCAGAGGCAGGCAGTTCTCTGAGTTTCAGGCCAGCCTGGTCTACACAGCAAGTTCCAGGCCAGCCAGGGCAACACAGAGAAACCCTGCCTCAAAATAACAACAACAAAAAGGCAGTAGCTCTAATTCATGGTGTGGGAGTGGGTTCTGCAGCATGAACCGAGGCCCTCAAAGCACAGGAACCTTGGGACACCTGCCGGAGCTCCACACAACGAAGTTTGAGAGCAGTGGGGTAGCACAGAAACCCACTGTGGCCGTAGTCCGAGTCGGCCTGCAGCCTGGATCCCGAGAGCTCAGGCGTGTGTCTGTAGATCCGAGAGGCTAGGGACGGAAAGGTGTGGTACAACCTTGAAAATTGAAATTCAGTTGGTTTGAGGTGTCCTGCGCGAGACACCAGGACACACACAAAGGATCTACACAGCTTTTCCGTATGTCTTTGGATCTTCCTCCATTTTTTTGAACCAGTGCCCAACAACATAATGACCTGGAAGGGGTTTTTTATTATTGTTATTTTAATTCATGTATCAGTGTGTCTTACCTGCATGTATGTATGTACACCAGGCCTGTGCCACATCTTCAAGTGGAGTTCTCGACGGTTGTTGGCCGTGTGGGTTCTGGATCCTCTGCAAGAGCAACCAGTGCTCATAACCACTGACCCACCTCCCTAGCCCCCTGAAAGGGATCTGAGACCAGACCCCCCCCCCCAGGAAGACTACAGAGCGAAGCTGATTTGCTAATATCTTACAATATCAACTGTCTAGTTTCCCTGCCCCTTAGTTCTGTTGAATCAAAGATGGCAGAACTAGAATTTTCCCTGTCTGTCAAAGAACAAACGGAAGAGCTGGTCCTTCTGGACCTTTATTCTTGTCCTGTAGAGAAAATTGTTCATACACCTTCCTGTCCGGGAGGCTGTTTACCGACAGGTCTGAGGGAATGGGAATCCAGGGCGAATGAATCCCTGCTCAGTACAGCTGCCATTCTAGGCACTTTGATATCTCACATTTCATTCTCGGTGACCCTGTGAACTGCCATGGCTAGGAGCCAGAGCCAGGTCCTTGGGTACTTCTAGCTAAAGCCTGTGCCTTTTTCTGTATCTGGTTGTTTCTCGGCTTCATTTTAGGGAAATCCCAGGGGCTTGTGGGTGGGGTTGGGAGCAGCTATGACTGGTTCAGGGTCACAACCTCGGGAATTTCCTGGAGATTCTGGTGACAAGAAGTGCCAATGGCTGGCCGGAGGCAACAATCGTGTCTGAAGATCCTGGGGTGTGTTAGTCAGCTTTCTGTTACTGTAACAAAATACAGTAATCAAAAGGGGAGAAAGGCTCATTTGGGCCTGTGGTGGCAGAGTGGGAGCACATGGTGAAGGAGGCCATTTGCCTTATGGTTAGCTGGGTACAAAAGAGAACAGGGCCCCGCAATCCCCTTCAAAGAATGCCCCAACTGAGGCGACCTACAAATGCGTTTCGTTGGGCTTGTGGTTTAGAGGGTTAGAATCCATGAGCACTACTAACTGGGGACCAAGCTTTCAAATACAGGAGCGTGTGGGGCTGTTCTCATTCAAACAACCACAGCAACGGTTTAAAACCTTCCACTAGGCCCCAACCTTCTCATAGCACCCTGGGCTGGAGATGAAGCCGAAGGGGACACCCGATTCCAGACTGTAGCACCAGGCAAGAAGATGATGCGTAGCAATAGTTTGGACTGGGGGTGGTGTCAAGTCCTCACTGTGCTCAGGAAATACAGGGCATCTCCCTCGCAGTACGCAGGATGAGGCAGGCAATTGAGGGCAAATGAAGTGGCTGGAGGGAGGCAGTTCTCTGTAGGACCGTGGAGATCCGAAGTCAGCTCCCTTTCCTCTGGCAAGAGGGAGAGGAAGGTGGGAATACTGCAGGACTAAGAACAGATCTGTGTAGACAAGTATAGTGTGGCCTGGGTGGTTCGGTTTGGTTCTTGAGCTTTGGAGGTTGTCTAAGGTCAGAGACAATTGTTTCTGCCTTCAGCTAAGACAATAAGGGACAAGAAGGATCATCTTTGTGACGCTCTCCTGCAGACTCTCATCTCTGGACAGTAATTCTCAAAAGCCAAAGGCTCTGCCCCCGCAGGTGTCTGGTTGTGCCTGAAGGAAGCAACAGGAAGAGCTCCATCTGGAGCTAATAAGGCCATGGCAACTGCCTGACTTTGTCCCCTATCTGCCCCTGCCTTTGGGTTGAAAGTGCTCTCCTGGGCTGGGTAAATGGCTCACCCGGCAAGCTGCTTACCATGCAAGCAGCCAGTCCCCAGAAACCACGTAACAAGCAGGGTACAGCAAGCACCTGGAATCCAGGCTTTGATTTGCGAGCCAGCCAGTCTAGCCTAATTTTTGACCACCAAGTTCAGTGAGAGACCCTGTCTGAAAAACTAAGGTGGAGAGATGGCTCAGGAGTCCAGGGTTGGGGTACATTTGGGAGTCAGGGGCAGGCAGCTTTCTTGAGGGCAGCCTTATGTACACGGCGACTTCCAAGATAGCTAGAGTGACAAAAAGAGACCTATTTTTCGTTTTTGTTTTTGTTTTTTTTAAAAAAGAGGCCGGGAAGAGATGGCTCAGTGATGAAGAACACTGGCTGCTCTTCCAGTGTTCCAGGACCTCGGCTTGATTCCCAGAACCCACATGGCAGTTCACAGTTGTCTATAACCCCTGTCCCAGGAGACCCAATGCCTTCTTCTAGCCTCTGAGGGCACCAGGCACACATATGGTATACAGACATACCTGCAGGTAAAACATTCACACGCAAAAATAAAAAAGAGGAGTGAGTACATATTGCTCTTCAAGGGGACCACTGTCAGTCCCCAGCATACACATGGCAGGTAAGAGTCAGCTCTAACTCAGGTCCCAGAGCATCTGACACCCTCTTCTGACCCCTACTGTAACTCATACATGTAGTACAAAAGACATACATGCACACATACAAATACACTGATTTTAAAAACTAAGGTGAAGAGAGATTGCCAAGAACACCAGAACTCAACCACTGGACAATACCCTCTCTCCACAGGGCCCGCTGAAAAACCCCCTCTGGAGGCCTTAGGTTTAACCTTTTATTGACACAAAGGATTAAGGATTGGATCAGTGTAACCTTTGAGAGTCCAGAACTCTGCCCGCCTCCCTCCCAACAGATTAGCACCAAGACAGGTTTTCACAGCCCTGAAAGACCTGACCCTAGTGGTCCTGGGGGGGGGGGGGAGGCAGGAGTAAGAAGGGCGGCCGGCAGGACTGTGTTCCTGAAGCCACCCCTTCCTGAGGAGCAGGCAGAGCTGAGGCAGGAGAATGGCTCTCCTCACTCAGATTCATGCCCCTGCGGAGCTGCCAAGACAGAGGGAATGGGGATGGACATGGATGGGGAGATGGGTCAGGACAGTACAAAATAAAGGACACATTGGGAAAAAGGAAGGACCAAGGAACTCACCCTTGCTGAGTCTCATCATGTGGGTGGAAGGATGGGTGCGCTGGATTAGCAATGGCCCTAACCAAATAGTGGCCCCTACCCTGAACTGGATTTATGCCAAGAGCCTTAAGGAAGACGCTTAAGGTTGGAAGAGAAAAATGCAGGGGTCTGTGCTATGGACTGGAAGCCATAGCCAATGGGAAGGTCACAGCAGTCCCTGATGACATTCAGTGAGTCCGAGTTCTCCCCACTGAGGGAGGGGGTGCTGTGCTTGCAAGCTAGTTCCACAGCCACTGTCCCTCAGCTGAGGGCCTTTGTGTCTGAGGTCAGACCTGAGACTCTGGCCCTCAGAGCTCTTCATGGACCCTCTCCTGGTCCTCATCTGTCTTCAACTTGAGCTCCTCAGGTGTGATCTTGCCATCCTGGTTTCGGTCCTGGTTCTGAAACATGTCTTGGATGGTTTTGTCAGGGTCTTGCCCAGGCATGAGGCGTCCTTTGCCTTCATTCACTTGCGCCTTGATGAAGGAGGAGAACTGAAGGAGGGGAGAGCAGAGGAAAACAAGGCAGTGAGGCTCACAGTCAACAGCTGTGGATGGCCTTGGGAAGGGACCCTAGGTGGAGGCCAACACTATTTCCCCAGGCCTGGGTACCCAGAGAATTTGGGGCTTGAGATAGAGGGTATGTAACTTAGAGGCCAGATAGGGCAAGTGACACCCGGGGGAGGGGGTGGCAGGACAGGCCACTCAGTGTGCAGGATGGGAAGGTATGAAGCTCAGCAGCAGGGGGAGCCGGGGGGGGGGGGGTAGCAGGACAGGAGGAGCCGGTAGCCAGAAGGCAAACGAGCATGACAGCTTCCAGATAGGGGTTGCGTTTCTGACTCGCCTCTTCTGGGGGCACCTCTCCATCTTTATTGAGATCCATGTCTTCAAAAAGGTTGGCAGGAGGATCCTGGTGCCACACGAACAGGTAGCCCGTGGGCAAGCCATCTTCTCGGGATACCAGCTCCACCTCGAATAGCAGTACGGCACTGCCAGGGACACCCCGGGCTGGAGAAGGGGATGGGGGAAGAGGAGAATGGGGTCCCAGCGAGGCTTGGAGCTGAGCCTTAACACAGGCTTCAGTTTTCTCCTGTGGAAGGGGCATGGGGAGTTTTGGAACCATCCTAAAGGTTTCCCTCATCCCACCCACTAGCCACCAAGGCCTGAGATGGGTAGGGGAGAAACTGTGGGACCAGACATGGGATCCAGGTCGCCGTCCCTCACCTCCGCTCTCCCCGTGGGCCAGGTGTGGGGGCACAATGAGCTGCCTCCTCTCTCCTACACACATGCCCTGCAGGCCCCTGTCCAGGCCATCGATTACTTTGTTGGCTCCCAGGGTGGCCTCCTGAGGGGCCTCGTAGTCATGGCTGTGGGGAGAGTGGATTCCCAGGTGAGCAACAGGGGGTGTCTGAGAGCTCATCCCTTTCAATTTCCCCCATCATATTAGAATGGCAGTTCTCTCTTCCTCCAACTTCCTTTCCCCTGCGCCCCTCTCCGTTTCCCTACATTTCACACCCGTGGCTGCCTGAGGCTCACTGAGATGGAGACCGGTGGAGGAGCTGAGACACCGGGAGACCCAGAGAGAGGAGAAGGAGCCTGCAAGCTACTTGAAGCCCACCCAAGCCCATACACTATCTGCCCCGCCCTGGCCCCGCCCAAGAACCCACGAAGAGAAGAGCCTGGTGCCGTCCAGGAGAGAACAGTTGTAGTGGTAGCGAATGAAGTCTCCGAGCTTGGATGTCTGGTTGCAGATCTCAGGTGGCCGGAACAGCGTCGTGATTTCCACAGGGTCCGCAGGGTTGTGGAAGTCGATGACATGTACGTCAAAGATGAGCACAGCTGAGCCAGGGATCTTGTCTCCTGAGGCCAGATGGGGCACGGTTAGCTCAGGGCTCTGGGCGTGGGCTGCTCACCATCCCATGAGGTCCAGGCTTGACACCCCTTCCCAATCCCATCCACAGTCAGATGGCACGTTCCGGAATGAGTGCTTCCTACATCTTGCTGTTGGAGTGATGGAACAGAGAGACAGAAAAACCCTTTTCCACCCAAGAGTACCTCGTGAGCTCACGGTCACGTCCTGCTATGAGTGGTACCCCTGCATCAGCCTGAGGCTGCCAGAACCTCTAATATAGGCCTCTTAGCTCAGTGGTGCTAGGCTAAGTTTATCCTTAGCCAAACTCAGGTGCTCCACTATGGGAGCAGGGTGGGGCCTGCCTTGGAGGAATAGCACCGAGAGATCCAATGGGTGACCAAGCATATGGGCAATGAGAAGAACAGCAATCCCAGGGACACACTTCAGAGGAGCTGAGGGGTGGCCCGGGGACCAAACCCTACCTGTCCCGTTCTCCCCGTAGGCAAGGTGAGGGGGCACAGTGATCCTCCTTCGCTCCCCTATGCAGGCGCCTTGCAGCCCCTGGTCCATCCCAGGGATGATGTAACCCTGCCCGATATAGGTATTGTAGGTGTGGTTTCGAGAGTAGCTGCAATACACGGGGAGAGATGGGGAGGGAGTCAAAGGGGCCCCACCCCTTCCAGGCAGTTCTGAGTGCACCTCGGTCCCCACCCTCCCTCCTACCTCAGGACCACCCCCTGACCTGGAATCAAAGAGGGTACCGTCCATCAAAGAGCCATTGTAGTGGTAACGCATGAAGTCCCCGGCCACGGCTCGCCGGACACAGCCCTGGGGCAGCTCCAGCGTTTCCAGCTGGACCGTGTCCTTCGGGTTGTGGACGTCAATCAGCAGGACATAGAAGACCAGGGAGGCCTGCGGGGGTATCACAGTCCCTGGGGAGGGCACAAGGCTTGAACCATACAAGTGGGGAGCAAGCGCAGACCCAGCAAAGGTCCTCGTGCAAAAAGACCTACTCTGCCCCCCAAAGCCCTCCTCCTTTGGTTGTCCCCACAGCCATCACCAACCCATACCAAGCCTTTGTGTGAATCAGAATAAAGCAATCCAGCCTAGGGAGAAAGAGAGCTCATCTCTACTGACTCCTTGACTGGATGCCCTTGGACAGTATACAGCCTGAAGGATTCTACGAAGACCCTGGTTCCCCCTCTTCTGGAGAACTCCCGTGTCCTTGCCTTACCATAGCCTTTCTCCCCATAAGCCAGGAAGGGAGGGATGATGATTTTTCTCTTCTCTCCGGGACACATGCCCAGCAAACCCTGGTCCATGCCCTTGATCAGCCAACCAGAGCCAATGTAGGTGTCGTAAGTACCTCCCCGACTATAGCTGCAGAGAACAAGGCAGAGACCCTGGGGCTGGAGGTGAGAGAGGCAGGGTAGGCCGGGCTCCTTTCTCTTGGTCACAGTTCCCAGCCCTGAGGACACCCCCCCCACCCCCCCCCCCCCCCCCCCCCCCCCCCCCCCCCCC